TAATCTCTAGAAACATGTTGTAGCATGTATCCTCACGCAGTACTTTAAAGGCTAGTTCAATGTTCATCATTACTTGGTTTTCATGTTGTTGAATAGATGTAAAATATCCAGGCCACAGTGGTAATTTGTGCTCGTGTATATTAATTTGACTTTTGGGATCATAATAATCTCTTTGAAGCAATGTGAGCTGCAATTTCCGGAGTTCCGCGACTGCTTCAGGGCATCGCAGGAACCGCTTACAAAAATCTTGCAATTTTCTCATGCGGTCTACTGGTCCTACTCGAGTATGATCCGAGATAGCTAATTGTGAGTTTCCACAGTTCTGGAATTAAGTAAACGACCTCAGACTTTCCAGCTCGTATTTCCCTATGTCTGGTATGACACACCAGCAGGGGCTGGCGTCGTTCCCAAATATGAGTCTTGTATTTGTCAGCGTAATATTGGACGTATATTATTTGTGAACCATCTCTCAAAGTGAGAGTACTATCAGCATTTTGTGAGAAATCAACATCATCAATTCTTTAAGTTCTGTTGTTATAAAATGTCAGTACACTAGATCCTATAATTTTACTTAGGAATTCTTTTCTGGGCTCTGGACCTCTAATCTCTAGAAACATGTTGTAGCATGTATCCTCACGCAGTACTTTAAAGGCTAGTTCAATGTTCATCATTACTTGGTTTTCATGTTGTTGAATAGATGTAAAATATCCAGGCCACAGTGGTAATTTGTGCTCGTGTATATTAATTTGACTTTTGGGATCATAATAATCTCTTTGAAGCAATGTGAGCTGCAATTTCCGGAGTTCCGCGACTGCTTCAGGGCATCGCAGGAACCGCTTACAAAAATCTTGCAATTTTCTCATGCGGTCTACTGGTCCTACTCGAGTATGATCCGAGATAGCTAATTGTGAGTTTCCACAGTTCTGGAATTAAGTAAACGACCTCAGACTTTCCAGCTCGTATTTCCCTATGTCTGGTATGACACACCAGCAGGGGCTGGCGTCGTTCCCAAATATGAGTCTTGTATTTGTCAGCGTAATATTGGACGTATATTATTTGTGAACCATCTCTCAAAGTGAGAGTACTATCAGCATTTTGTGAGAAATCAACATCATCAATTCTTTAAGTTCTGTTGTTATAAAATGTCAGTACACTAGATCCTATAATTTTACTTAGGAATTCTTTTCTGGGCTCTGGACCTCTAATCTCTAGAAACATGTTGTAGCATGTATCCTCACGCAGTACTTTAAAGGCTAGTTCAATGTTCATCATTACTTGGTTTTCATGTTGTTGAATAGATGTAAAATATCCAGGCCACAGTGATAATTTGTGCTCGTGTATATTAATTTGACTTTTGGGATCATAATAATCTCGTTGAAGCAACGTGAGCTGCATTGCAGATAGACATTTTCGAATCAGCATGTTAAAAAGGTGTATGTAGTGAAAATCACCCCATGCTAGTTCACTGACCATGCTGATATGAATTCGTATCTTTTCACCAGCTTCATTTTCCACAAATTTTTCCAATGGTCTGGACTGATTCTTTGTGCTGTATACAGCACTGTTCCATCAAACAGGTATCCAGAAAGAGTATCTCGGAGAGCTTGATGAGTAACTTTTTTTCCTGCACTGGTGTGATCAACTTCCGAATTAAAATCATCAAGGTGTTGAAATAATAAGGATTTTCCTGTCTGTATTAGGGGTAAAGAGTTTGATATTAAATTGTTAAAGCTGCTGACTTTTTTAACTATGATTGGTCAAAACTCTTGAAAGTTACTTGCGAGCTAAGATGGTCCAAAAGATTGGCAGATGTACACACATAATTTGATATCACTCTCTTTTATTCTTCGCTATTAATTTTTCTCCATCGTCTCTTCGGTTATCCTTCGTCCCACATGGAACCCCGTTTTTTGAGACTAGTTGCCCCGGTTCTTTACCTAACCAACTCGTTCCTAATCCTGTTCTTTCTAGATCCACAGTAACATTTTTTTCTCTGCCGTACACCGACTCCGGCCTCACCACACTTTTTCTTTTCAGTCCTTCCCCGATTTTTGCATTGCAGGTCAAGTAACTCTTGAGAGTTACTTGCGAGCTAAGATGGTCCAAAAGGTTGGCAGATGTACACACATAATTTGGTATCACTCTCTTTTATTCTTCGCTATTAATTTTTCTCCATCGTCTCTTCGGTTTTCCTTCGTCCCACATGGAACCCCGTTTATTGAGACTAGTTGCCCCGGTTCTTTACCTAACCAACTCGTTCCTAATCCTGTTCTTTCTAGATCCACAGTAACATTTTTTTCTCAGCCGTACACCGACTCGGGCCTCACCACACTTTTTCTTTTCAGTCCTTCCCCGATTTTTGCATTGCAGGTCAAGTAACTCTTGAGAGTTACTTTCGAGCAAAGATGGTCCAAAAGGTTGGCAGATGTACACACACAATTTGCTATCACTCTCTTTTATTCTTCGCTATTAATTTTTCTCCATCGTGTCATCAGCTTTCTCTCAAGCCCTCTACCAGTCGTTTGATAATTTCTTCGCTTTTCCTTCGTCCCACATGGAACCCCGTTTTTTGAGACTAGTTACCCCATTTCTTTACCTAACCAACTCGTTCCTAATCCTGTCCCTTCTAGATCCACAGTAACACTTTTTTCTCAGCCGTACACTAAATCAGGCCTCACCACACTCTAGTCCTTCCCCGATTTCTGCATTACAGGTCAAGTAACTCTTGAGAGTTACTTGTGAGCAAAGATGTTCCAAAAGGTTGGCAGATGTACACACATACTTTGGTATCACTCTCTTTTATTCTGTCGCTATTAATTTTTCTCCATCATGTCATCAGCTTTCTCTGAAGTCCTCTACCAGTCGTTTGATAATTCCTTCGATTTTTCTTCGTCTCACATCGAACCCCGTTTTTTGAGACTAGTTACCCTGGTTCTTTCCCCAATCAACTCTATTTTCCCCTAATACAGACAGGAAAATCCTTATTATTTCAATACCGTGATGATTTTAATTCGGAATTTGATCACACCAGTGCAGGAAAAAAAGTTACTCATCAAGCTCTTCGAGACACTCTTTCTGGATACCTGTTTGATGGAACAGTGCTGTATACAGCACAAAGAATCAGTCCAGACCTATTGGAAAAATTTGTGGAAAACGAAGCTGGTGAAAAGATACGAATTCATATCAGCATGGTCAGTGAACTATCATGGGGTGATTTTCACTACATACACCTTTTTAACATGCTGATTCGAAAATATCTATCTGCAATGCAGCTCACGTTGCCTCAACGAGATTATTATGATCCCAAAAGTCAAATTAATATACAAGAGCACAAATTATCACTGTGGCCTGGATATTTTACATCTATTCAACAACATGAAAACCAAGTAATGATGAACATTGAACTAGCCTTTAAAGTACTGCGTGAGGATACATGCTACAACATGTTTCTAGAGATTAGAGGTCCAGAGCCCAGAAAAGAATTCCTAAGTAAAATTATAGGATCTAGTGTACTGACATTTTACAACAACAGGACTTAAAGAATTGATGATGTTGATTTCTCACAAAATGCTGATAGTACTCTCACTTTGAGAGATGGTTCACAAATAATATACGTCCAATATTACGCTGACAAATACAAGACTCATATTTGGGAACGACGCCAGCCCCTGCTGGTGTGTCATACCAGACATAGGGAAATACGAGCTGGAAAGTCTGAGGTCGTTTACTTAATTCCAGAACTGTGGAAACTCACAATTAGCTATCTCGGATCATACTCGAGTAGGACCAGTAGACCGCATGAGAAAATTGCAAGATTTTTGTAAGCGGTTCCTGCGATGCCCTGAAGCAGTCGCGGAACTCCGGAAATTGCAGCTCACATTGCTTCAAAGAGATTATTATGATCCCAAAAGTCAAATTAATATACACGAGCACAAATTACCACTGTGGCCTGGATATTTTACATCTATTCAACAACATGAAAACCAAGTAATGATGAACATTGAACTAGCCTTTAAAGTACTGCGTGAGGATACATGCTACAACATGTTTCTAGAGATTAGAGGTCCAGAGCCCAGAAAAGAATTCCTAAGTAAAATTATAGGATCTAGTGTACTGAAATTTTACAACAACAGAACTTAAAGAATTGATGATGTTGATTTCTCACAAAATGCTGATAGTACTCTCACTTTGAGAGATGGTTCACAAATAATATACGTCCAATATTATGCTGACAAATACAAGACTCATATTTGGGAACGACGCCAGCCCCTGCTGGTGTGTCATACCAGACATAGGGAAATACGAGCTGGAAAGTCTGAGGTCGTTTACTTAATTCCAGAACTGTGGAAACTCACAATTAGCTATCTCGGATCATACTCGAGTAGGACCAGTAGACCGCATGAGAAAATTGCAAGATTTTTGTAAGCGGTTCCTGCGATGCCCTGAAGCAGTCGCGGAACTCTGGAAATTGCAGCTCACATTGCTTCAAAGAGATTATTATGATCCCAAAAGTCAAATTAATATACACGAGCACAAATTATCACTGTGGCCTGGATATTTTACATCTATTCAACAACATGAAAACCAAGTAATGATGAACATTGAACTAGCCTTTAAAGTACTGCGTGAGGATACATGCTACAACATGTTTCTAGAGATTAGAGGTCCAGAGCCCAGAAAAGAATTCCTAAGTAAAATTATAGGATCTAGTGTACTGACATTTTACAACAACAGAACTTAAAGAATTGATGATGTTGATTTCTCACAAAATGCTGATAGTACTCTCACTTTGAGAGATGGTTCACAAATAATATACGTCCAATATTATGCTGACAAATACAAGACTCATATTTGGGAACGACGCCAGCCCCTGCTGGTGTGTCATACCAGACATAGGGAAATACGAGCTGGAAAGTCTGAGGTCGTTTACTTAATTCCAGAACTGTGGAAACTCACAATTAGCTATCTCGGATCATACTCGAGTAGGACCAGTAGACCGCATGAGAAAATTGCAAGAATTTTGTAAGCGGTTCCTGCGATGCCCTGAAGCAGTCGCGGAATTCCGGAAATTGCAGCTCACATTGCTTCAAAGGGATTATTATGATCCCAAAAGTCAAATTAATATACAAGAGCACAAATTATCACTGTGGCCTGGATATTTTACATCTATTCAACAACATGAAAACCAAGTAATGATGAACATTGAACTAGCCTTTAAAGTCCTGCGTGAGGATACATGCTACAACATGTTTCTAGAGATTAGATGTCCAGAGCCCAGAAATGAATTCCTAATTAAAATTATAGGATCTAGTGTACTGACATTTTACAACAACAGGACTTACAGAATTGATGACATTGATTTCTCACAAAATGCTGATAGTACTCTCACTTTGGTAGATGGTTCACAGATAATATACGCCCAATATTACGCGGACAAATACAAGACTCATATTCGGGAACGACGCCAGCCCCTGCTGGTGTGTCATACCAGACATAGGGAAATACGAGCTGGAAAGTCTGAGGTCGTTTACTTAATTCCAGAACTGTGGAAACTCACAATTAGCTATCTCGGATCATACTCGAGTAGGACCAGTAGACCGCATGAGAAAATTGCAAGATTTTTGTAAGCGGTTCCTGCGATGCCCTGAAGCAGTCGCGGAACTCCGGAAATTGCAGCTCACATTGCTTCAAAGAGATTATTATGATCCCAAAAGTCAAATTAATATACACGAGCACAAATTACCACTGTGGCCTGGATATTTTACATCTATTCAACAGCATGAAAACCAAGTAATGATGAACATTGAACTAGCCTTTAAAGTACTGCGTGAGGATACATGCTACAACATGTTTCTAGAGATTAGAGGTCCAGAGCCCAGAAAAGAATTCCTAAGTAAAATTATAGGATCTAGTGTACTGACATTTTACAACAACAGAACTTAAAGAATTGATGATGTTGATTTCTCACAAAATGCTGATAGTACTCTCACTTTGAGAGATGGTTCACAAATAATATACGTCCAATATTATGCTGACAAATACAAGACTCATATTTGGGAACGACGCCAGCCCCTGCTGGTGTGTCATACCAGACATAGGGAAATACGAGCTGGAAAGTCTGAGGTCGTTTACTTAATTCCAGAACTGTGGTAACTCACAATTAGCTATCTCGGATCATACTCGAGTAGGACCAGTAGACCGCATGAGAAAATTGCAAGATTTTTGTAAGCGGTTCCTGCGATGCCCTGAAGCAGTCGCGGAACTCCGGAAATTGCAGCTCACATTGCTTCAAAGAGATTATTATGATCCCAAAAGTCAAATTAATATACACGAGCACAAATTATCACTGTGGCCTGGATATTTTACATCTATTCAACAACATGAAAACCAAGTAATGATGAACATTGAACTAGTCTTTAAAGTCCTGCGTGAGGATACATGCTACAACATGTTTCTAGAGATTAGAGGTCCAGAGCCCAGAAAAGAATTCCTAAGTAAAATTATACGATCTAATGTACTGACATTTTACAACAACAGGACTTACAGAATTGCTGATGTTGACTTCTCACAAAATGCTGATAGTACTCTCACTTTGGTAGATGGTTCACAGATAATATACGCCCAGTATTACGCAGACAAATATAAGACTCATATTCGGGAACGACGCCAGCCCCTGCTGGTGTGTCATACCAGACATAGGGAAATACGAGCTGGAAAATCTGAGGTCGTTTACTTAATTCCAGAACTGTGGTAACTCACAATTAGCTATCTCGGATCATACTCAAGTAGGACCAGTAGACCGCATGAGAAAATTGCAAGATTTTTGTAAGCGGTTCCTGCGATGCCCTAAAGCAGTCGCGGAACTCCGGAAATGGGAATTCCAATTATAAGATCGTCTCATACAATTTTAAGGAAGAGTTCTTTTTATGGGAACAATTGTTGCAGCAAATAATTCAAGATACCCTGCTGGACCCAAAGCAGATTAGTAAAAATTTGCCTAGTAAGACAAAAAATTAATGTTACGGCTTTTTGCGTACCTTACTGCAAGGGGAACACAATCAGGCATAGGGCAACCACAAATTAATGATATACCTGATGACAAAACGCAATAGAAAACGTTGCGGCTAAAATCAACTCGACACTTATAATGTGTTTATTACCTTCTTTTGTTGGTTGCTAGACGAAATAGCTGTGTTGAGGTCTTTCTATACCATGCTCTCAGGTTAGCAAGCCAGGATATTCTTCGTCCTTTCACTTTTGGCCTTTCCGATGCGACATTTAATCTCTTGGGTATTGTCCCACGACTCATTGATTATAGTTCCCAAGTAATTGTATTGTGAGACACGTTCAATTCTCATTTGGTTTACATACAGATTTGCTCCAGTTATGTTTTCCTTGCTGATGATCATTAGCTTGGTTTTGCTGGTGTTTATATCCAGTCTATAAGTTCTACTTATTTCTGTTATTTTGTTCATTAAGTTTTGCAGCCCTTCTATGGTATTGCAAAACACTATTGTATCATCTGCATACTGCAGGTTATTAAGCTTACTTAATTATTAAGCTGTTTATTACCAACCAATTAAATTTACGGATGTGGACCAAGAAGGAGAAATATGTATTCTTCTCATGGAGGGTTGTCTTTATAGTTTTGCATATAGCCATAAAGCCAAAAAATATAATATAGACTTACAAGTACTTTATTGCTTTTCAAAATATGTCTCACCAAGACAGATAGACTTTTGCATACGTTCAAACTAATTGATAAAACATTTCAGTCTTCATTTGATACCTTCAAAATCGCTGACCACGCATTGATTTTTTGATCTTTGAGAACGTGAAGTCGTTTCAAATATTTACATATGTATAAGTAAAATTTTATACTTTGTAATAAATACAATTAACATAAATATTAAGTTGTTTTTATTTTAAAATCTTACCCTTCCTGTAGATATTGTAGAAAATAGCAACCTTAACCAAGGAAACCATCTGTAATGTTGGGAAAAGCCCTTGAGATGTAATCTGGAATACGATTAAAATCTAAATTTACTAGACCATTGTTGAAACGAAATAAGTAACGAGCAACGCTGAACTAAAAGCAATTAAATTAGAAAAATTAACAGTTACGTTAGTAGGTAGATGAGTTTCGGTGGACCCAATGCACCTTTAAAATCGTTCTAAAGAGTTTAAATTAGTATTAAACTGGTTTTATTAATTCTGTAAGTTATATTTCGTAGAGTCTCGTGATACAAATAAACTCTGTGTCAGTGGATATTAATCTGATCCAAGTTGATGCCTAAGATATGCAGAAGACACCATAATTGAATCAGTGGGAAGAAAAAGCGACATGTCGCAAAAATCAAGTTAGCGGGAAATAAGAAAAAACTTCCTCTATTGAAAACTATCCAGTTTTGAGCATAATTTGAGCAATATACCACTTTATAGAACAATCCATTACTCATAAATAATATTGATACAAAATTTAATGAATGCAACTATCAGAGGAGAGAAAATAAATAATTGTTTGGACATATATCCGGTTTTTAGACAACAATACTATCATGATATAAACAATACAATACAAAGATAAAAAGGAATAAATCAAAGTTATTCGGATTCATCTTCACCTTCTGCAGTTGGCCATGTAAATAAGGAATCATAAAATATCTTGCATCCAGAAATGTTCTCATTTAAGTAGGGTGCAAATTTCAATAGATGTTCTAATTTCTTTTTCTTAATCGGAACTCTGACTCGAGGTTAGGCTAAGTTGACAGGTAGTGACTCTACTTTGGTGCGTGTAGAAACGTCAAATGTATGGTGAACAATTCGATCAATAAATTCATGAGCAACAATTTGACCTTATGCCTGAGAGTTACATGAAAAGTGCATGAACTTGCTGATAGAAAAAAAAACTTTTTGTTCTTTGGGAATATGCCTACGTAGTGATCCGTGTGATAAAATTTGTTGTCAGTTATAATGAGTTCTACATACTCTCTAGACTCATTCACTGCCAGTAGTCAGTTTAACCTCTTAAGCGTGCCGGGTCGCCTACTCAAGTGAAACGCTCGAGGCGTGAATTCGCGTCATTGGCGTGTGGAAGGAAAACGTGAATTCGCGTCCGTGACGTATCATTATAACTTGGTCACAAGTTAATTTTATTAACATTCATCATCATCAATCAGCCAATCGCGTCCACTGCTGGACATAGGCCTTCCTCAGTTCTTTCCAGTGTTCTCTACACTGGGCCGCTTGTAGCCAGTTTCCCGCTACACGTTATCATCCGTCCATCTAGTCGGTGGTCGTCCTCGGCTTCTTTTATAGTTTCTGGGCCTCCATTCCATAATACGTCTTGTCCACCGTCCATCTTGTGCTCTGGCTAAGTGCCCTGCCCAGTTCCACTTAAGCGACGTGGTTCTTTCGATGACGTCTTGAACTCCTGATGTTTGCCTGATTTGTTAGTTTGTTATGTGGTCTCGAAGGCTCACGTTCAGCATTACACGTTCCATGGCTCGTTGTGTAACTCTATTCGCAGATTTTTGCGTGAGTGTTAAAGTCTGCTCCATAAGTTTGTACAGGTAAAACACATTGGTTATAAACCTTTCGCTTGAGACACATGGGAATTGAACTTTTTAGAATATGGCTTAATTTGCCAAATGCTGCCCAAGTTAGGCCTATTCGCCTCTGTATTTCATGTGTTTGATTGTCTCTGCTTATTTTGATTTCGTGTCCCAGATATTTGTAAGTGTCTGTTTGTTGTATGGTACTATTGTCAATAGTTATATTTCCACTCATTACGAGATTTGTTATAAGTTTAGTTTTCTCAAAGTTTATCTTTATATATCAATCCTGCTCTTTCAGACAGACTTTTAAGCGAATGCATCATAGAAACTGTATCTTGTAAATTATCTGCGATTAATACACATCATCTGCAAATCTTAGGTGATTTAATCTTTCTCCATCTATATTGATGTCCATATCTTGCCATTGAGTGCTCTTAAATATTGACTCTAGAGCTGCTGTGAACAATTTTGGTGAAATATTGTCTCCTTGTCTAACTCCTCGACCTAAGCTGAATTTTTCTGTGTCTTCGTGTAGTCGTATACTTGATGTAGCGTTCTCGTAGATGTTTTTGATTAGTGTCGTGTACCTGTAATCTATTTGGCTTTGATTTAGGGCTTCCAGTATTGTTTCAAACTCTACAGAATCAAAAGCCTTCTCGTAATCGACAAATGCAAGAACCAGTGGTATGTTGTACTCGATGTTCATAGCTTTTGTATCCAAATGGTCATTTGTGCCATATCCTGCCCTGAAGCCTGCCTTTTTTTTGAGCTGATAGAAATCAAGTTTAGGCGTTAGCCTCTTTGTTAAGATTTTCATAAAAAGTTTGTACGTATGTGTCAGGAGGCTGATGGGTCTATAATTTTCTAATTTAGTAATATCGCCTTTTTTGTGTAACAAGACTATTACTGCATTGTTCCACTCTTTTGGAATCGTACGCGCATGTAAGCATTTATTAAACAGTTCGCTTACTGATTTTAATAAAATTTCTCCTCCTGCTTTTATTGCCTCGATAACGACCCCATCATCACCAGGCGATCGATGGTTCTTCATCAAATGTTAATGATGGTTCAAGAGTGGCTAAAGTCAGTATATTTATAACCATCCCTAAAAAACAAGCAGCAAAAGAGTGCTCTGATTATCGAACACTGAGCCTTATGTGTACTCGAGAAGGTCGAGAGGATCATACTATTTACACTTATGCTTTGTTGACTACGAAAAAGCTTTCGATAAAGTAGGACATGAGAAACTAATATCAATACTTATCAACAAGCGCATTGACAGTAAAATCATAAATGTAGTGCAAATATTATATTGGAACCAAAGTGCCATAGTTCAAATTGATGGGCAACACTCAGAAGAAATGAAGATCTGTAGACAGGGATGTT